CTCCTCAGATGCCTTGTCCTCATGTTCCTCAGATTCAGCCTCAGAGTCCATTTCCTTGCCAATGAATGCCCGAGCCTTCTTGGAGCTGATCTTCTTGTGAGATGAAGACTTCGAGGATTTTGATGATGAAGACTTTGAAGTTTTCTTCTTCTTCTTGGCATCATCAGAACTATAATCCTTGTATTTCTTCTTCTTCAATTCCTTATCCCACTGAGGACAATCTTGAATGTAGTGACCAGGTTTCTTGCATTTGTGGCATAGCCTCTTCTTGTAGTCATTGGATGAGGAATCATTGCTCCTTGAGGATTTTCCAAAGCGACCACGTCTTGAGAACTTCTGAAATTTCTTCACGAGAAGTGCTAGTTCCTAGCTCAGTTCTTCAGGACCACCAAGGCTGCTAGTGGAGTCCTCTTCTTCAGACTCAGAGACTGCCTTGGCCTTCAGAGCACGTGGTTTGCCATAGCTCGAACCATAAAGATCTCTATTCTCAGCAAGCTGGAACTCATGAGTGTTTAGCCTCTCGAGGATATCAGTAGGATCAAGTGATTTGTAATCAGCACGCTCTTGAATCATCAGTGCCAGAGTGTCAAATGAGGAATCGAGTGGTCTCAACAATTTCTTCACCACCTCATGTTCGGTGATGTCAGTGGTGCCAAGCGCTTGAAGCTCATTTGAGATATCAGTGAGGCGATCGAAGGTTTGCTGAACATTTTCATTGTCGAGTCTTTTGAAGCGGTTGAAGAGATTGCGAAGAATGTCAACATGAGAGTCACGTTGAGTTGAGACTCCTTCATTTACTTTGGAGAGCCTATCCCAGATAAGCTTAGCAGTTTCCAAAGCACTCACTCTACCATATTGCCCTTTGCTCAGATGGCCACATATGATGTTCTTTGCTTGAGAATCGAGTTGCTTGAATCTCTTCACATCAGCAACATTCAGGGAAGGTGTGACTGAGGGAACACCATTTTCCACAACATACCAGAGATCGTTATCAATTGCCTCAAGATGCATTCGCTTCTTATTCTTCTAGTAGGGGTAGTCCGTTCCATCGAAGGTAGGACACCCAGCAGAGACCTTGATCATACCTGTGGTCGACATAACTGAAACTCCAGGCGGTTAAACCAAAATCACACAAAACAAAGGGAGTACATTGCTCTGATACCAATTGAAAGAGCGTTATATCGACTAGAGGGGGGTGAATAGGCGATTTTTATGAATTCTTCACTGAGGAATTTGCTGGTGAGGAAATTCCTAAATGAAGAACTACTTGCAGCGGAATAAGTACTCAAAAGTAAACATAGCAGAACACACGCATAGTCATCATGATGAGATGAAGACCAGCACAAAGTATAGAAAGCATAAGCACAAGATAACACAAGATGAAGATGGACATACTGAAGAAATCAAACTGAGGAAATTGAGAAAGTCTTCAGTTAAAGTCTTCAAACAGATATGAACAAGCACACAACAACAGAAATGAGGAAATGAAAGAGTTGAGGAAATAGAACCGGTAAGCTCGATGAAGACAATGATTTGGTAGACTAGTTCCAACTGCTGTCTCAGTTGTACATCTGGTTGGAGCGGCTGAGTATTTAAACTCGAGGACACACAGTCCTCACTGTATTCTCCTTGAGCTAAAGTCACACATACCTCGCCCAATCACTCATGGTAAGTCTTCAGGTGACTTCCGGGCCTTCACAAACTTGGTCACTCGGCGATCCACAATTCCTCTTGGATGCTCTAGACCTTGACGCCTAACCGTCTGGAAGAAGCACAGTCTTCAAAGGTAACAAGCGTCGGATCCACACAGGATCAATCTATTCAGTGATGCTCAATCACTTTGGGGTTTTGAAGGTTTGGGTTTGGGTTTTCCTCACTTGATGATTTTCACTCAAAGTCCTCGGAGGATGGGATGCTCTCAAATGACAAGTGTCAGTTTCTCTCAGAGCAGCCAACCAGCTAGTGGTTGTAGGGGGTAGCTATTTATAGCCTAGGGAGCAGCCCGACATGATAAGACATAAATGCCCTTGTCTGATATGACCGTTAGGTGGGTAGATATTTTGGGACAGCTGGCGCGTAGCAAAACAACGGTTGGAATTTTGAGTCTCAAATTCCTCAGGGCTATCATGTTCCTCACTGTGTAGGCAATCCGCACTGGCGAATTCCTAACTCCTCAATCAGAACAAATTCCTCAGAGACTAGAAGAACTTTGTCTCTGTCACTGAAGAATATGACTGAACTGTATGAGATTTCCAATGGCTTCACTCGAAGGGATTGGTAGGTGTAGGATTTTGAGTTGAGCATCACATGGAAATTTTTCCTTAGTATTTCCTCGACCCCCTTTAACAGTACGGTGTTTCCTATGACTCAAAAAAGAGAAAATGAAACTATAAAATCAAAAGTCTTCAAGCTTCATGTTCCTTGAATGATTACCAAGTCTTCAAGGTCACACCAATTTCTTCACTTTCAAAGTCTTCGGAAAGTCTTCAGAAATCCAAAGTCTTCAGTCGAAGAACTTCATTTTTAGGGGTCGACTTTCTCTGTAAATATCAAACTCCTCATAGACTTATAGACCTGTGTACACTCACAAACACATCAGTCCCTTAACCTATAAGTCTTCAATACACCAAAATCACTAAGGGGCACTAGATGCACTTACACGTCTGGAGGATACACAATCCTCAAAGGTAACAAGCATCGGTTCCACACAGGAACAATCTCTTAAGTGATGCCCAATCACTTTGGTGTTTGTAGGTTTGGGTTTTGGGATTTGGGTTTTCCTCACTTGATGATTTTCGCTCAAAGTCCTCAGAGGAATGGGATGCTCTCAAATGACAAGTGTCAGTTTCTCTCGGAGCAGCCAACCAGCTAGTGGTTGTAGGGGGCGGCTATTTATAGCCTAGGGAGTAGCCCGACATGATAAGACATAAATGCCCTTGTCTGATATGACCGTTAGGTGGTAGGATATTTTGGAGAGCTGGCGCGTAGCACAACAACGGTCGGATTTGAGGTTCGAATTCCTTAGGGCTATCATGTTCCTCACTGTGTAGGCAATCCGCACTGGCGAATTCCTAACTCCTCAATAAGAACATATTCCTCAGAGACCAGAAGATCTTCGTCTCTATCACTGAAGAAATTGACTGAACTGATATGAGATTTCCAATGGCTTCACACGAAGGATTGGGTAGGTGTAGGATTTTGAGATGAGCATCACTTGGAAATCGGTTTCCTTAGTATTACCTCGACCCCCTTTAACAGTACGGTGTTTCCTATGACTCAAGAAGAAGAAAATGAAACTACGAAAACAAAAGTCTTCACGCTCCAGATTCCTCACATGAATATCGAAGTCTTCAAGGTCACACCAATTTCTTCACTTTCGAAGTCTTCAGGAGAACCAAAGTCTTCAACCGAAGACATTCATTTTTAGGGGTCGACTTTCACTTTAAGTATCAAACTCCTCATTGACTTATAGAGCCTGTGTACACTCACAAACATATTAGTCCCTTAACCTATAAGTCTTCAATACACTAAAATCACTAAGGGGCACTAGATGCACTTACACTGGGGTCACCAAACTCATCTCTCTCCTTTTAATTGTCTTGCCACATCAGATTTTTCGCCTACATGACACCCTTAGCACCTGTACAAGGTGGAGCATTGGGAGGGGCCTTAGACCTCTTTCAATGCACATGTGCTTAAATGTGGTCCGCACAAGTGGCCTCGCATCTCAAGGCGCCCGACCACGGTACAGGAGCCGGTGAGCGTCGGCTGGCGCTATAGGTGCTCCTCACCGAATGTTCCCAGGATGGTCGCAGAACCCATGCGTTGGGTCATCGTTTCGGCGACGTCCAACTCCGAGTCTGTGTTAAAAGATGACACTACACACCGCCTCGAATGCGGCAAATGCCCCAGGTGCGGCAGCAAGAACGAGGCGGAGGACCGGCATGCCGAGGCTGAGTCGCGCTTCGTCGCGTCGAACAAGGGCTCGGAGGCAAAGGCTGCCGAAGACACCCGTTCCCACATCTGGGCGAAGCGGTAAGCCCGGGATGCGTGTGCCTGCGCATTGGAGCAAACCTACGATGCTCATGCACTCTTCGGAGGAGGAGGAGGAGGAGGAGGAGGATGACGGTGCCGCATCCGACCCCTACAGCTCCAGGAGCGAGCAAATCTGCCTTGACCCGTGTTGCGTCTTCCAGCGCTATGGCGACAAAGAGGCAAGGGCAGCCGCAGGTAAACTCTCTTCATAACTCTAGTATTGAGAACATGCCAATTTTTTCTAGTCCGATGATATGTACTCCCTCCGTCCCAAAATTCTTGTCTTAGATTTGTCTTGATAAGGATGTATCTAATACTAAAAAGTGATTTGATACATCCGTATTTAGACAAATTTAAGACAAGAATTTTGGGACGGAGGGAGTATGATGAACTATTTGTATGCTATGTGTGTGATCTACATGACCTAAGTGTGCTTATTTTTTGTTGCACAAGAATGTATGGATTTGAAAATTTGGTACGAAGGACATAGCTGTAGGCACGAACATTTGAGGGGTCATCGGGCGCTGTCCGCAGACATGCCGGCCACGTCCGCGGATGTTTGAGGGTGATATTTAATGGGTCCGGTTGTAGATGCTCTACTATGTAATGGTGTTGGACGGATACTCCAAAAAGTTGGGCCGCAAATCATAAGTTGAAGATCTACTGACTATCTCTCAGAAGTGCTTATTTGGATAAGGTTGTGCCTGTACCGTGTTTAAAAAATAAAACAATTCTGAAAGAAAAATACAACATTGGTTGCCATGCGGCAACATGGGCTCTCACGCGGGCTCTACGAGCCCAGGGAACCATGGGCCTCATGGCGATACAACACCCAAGTAAATCCCTCATTTTTCCCCCACAGCCACAGATCCCACACTCTCCCGTTCAAACCAAGCTCCCCGAGCCCCCAATTCCCCAAATCCGCTCCTCCCCTTCCCCTTCCCCTTCCCGTCAAGCCCGCGGCGATGCCGCCGAGGAAGAAGCGGGGGGCTCGCCCCGCCGCCAAGCAGCCGCCGCCGTCACCGCCGTCCCCGCCGTCGCCGCCCGGCCCCGACGCGTCGGTGGAGGAGAAGCTGCGGTGGTCCGCCGACCAAGAGTGTACGTGCCTCCGAGCCCTAACTCCCCTCCCCCCAATCCGCCCCGCCCGAAATCAGTTTTAGGTGTTAGATTTGTGGCTAGCAACACTAAGCAGTAGGCGCGGGGGAAAGAAAAGATAGAGGGAGGAGGAAGAGCGCCGTCGTACTCGTGCCGCCGCTCGCCGCCGTAGGTCGTATCTCGCCGCCGCACTGCATTTCTTGGCCCTCGTGGCCGCCCTAAGAGATTTCCTTCCACGTTGGTCGCCGCTGGAAGACGCTGCGTTTGGATGCAAAGTATTTTTCCAGTTTTTTTGGGAATACCTTGGTTTCAAAAAAAAAAAGGATTCACCATCCCCAATTTGTCCTGGCAGTCGAGTAGGAATGTAGGACACAGTCCACTTTTTAGGTTGAACTTTTTTGAAATCTAATGTCAATAGGAAGGTTGTAATCTAGTGCAAATATACAGACATCTTATTCTCTGGGCAGTTGGCTCTAGCATGCCTGATCAAACTCTCACTACGATTCTTTTGAAGGGAACTCTCTTTCAGCTGCCATGTCAAAATCTGAACTCTCTTTCATCATAGATGCACTGTCCTTTACCTTAACGTAATTATCAGGATTCAATTGCTAATCTACTGTCCTCAATGAATAGTCATACGTCGGAAAGCTGCCATCAGAGCTATTCAAGCAGCAGAGACTGAGAGCGTGCTCTCCCGGCTGCGTCTGGTGCGATCCTACATTTCCAAGGAGCAACTAGAAACACCCGCCTTGCAATTTTTTCAGGAGAACTTGCCCAACGTGTCAGTTGTACGGAACGAAGAGCAGGGTGAGCTTGAGTTGAAATGGAAAGACTGGGATGATCTCATAAATGGAGACCAGAGGGATGACAAGGTTTCGCGAGCTTCGATCACGTCATTGGCAACTGCTGCTGGTTTTCATTTCTCAGGAGATTCAGGTTCAAACGCTATCTACTTGTTGTTCATGTACTTTTATAGGCACCAAAGCAGCTTGACTCGACTGATCTTCTCACCTTATTATATGATGCGTGCAGTGCAGAAGAACTTCATCGAGAACAGTTTTGATTTTAACAACTTTGTAAGTATTTCTTTTGTACAGTGATGGTATGGGATGATTTTTCTGTACCCTTGACAACTCTTTATTTTTCTCTGTTCCTTTGAAGAACTGGAGTGAGCTGCTCGAGAGCCAAACGATAGGAGCACCAGATTCTCTACAGACACCCGGGGTTTGTGTTTAACCCTCTTGACACGAAATGTTTGATCTTGAATCTCCTTCTGAGCTCACATATTGTGCTGTAACATAACCCTGAACAGGCCACGAGCAGTCGACTCTCTTTTGGCATGACACCGAAATCAGTAAGACAACCCAAGAATGGCGAGATGCTCTTATCCGTGCACGGGTCACCTCTTGGAATGTACAAAGAGGAAAATCTGGCAGCTATTACCGGTACTTGCTCGCTCCTGACACCACAGCCATCTCTTACTGCTGTTGCTTCCTTTCTGACTAACGGGAAAACATGTTGCAGAATCTGGAAACGGGAGCGAAGAGCCGCTTCACGATGCCAGCGGCCATCAATAGTAGTAGTAGTAAGAATTCCACATGCTTAAGCCCCTCTTTTCCTTTGCACATCCACTAGCTCACGGCTAATCTTTCATGTCCATTGCAGGAGCTTAACCGGCCCTCGACATAAAAGGCTAGGAATTTGATGCTGCATCTTCTCTTCAGGCCGAAGCCGGGACACCAATCAAAGCTCCAACCACCAATTCGGTGTACTTGCAGCAGCATCTTGAGTCCCGGCGTCAGCTGAATAGTCCCCGACGAGTTGCAGTGTGTGTGTGTAGGTTATCATGTTTGATATAAGATCTTGTCATGTTTGATGTGTTGCAAGTGCAAGCGTCTGACTCGTGTTTTTGTTTGCCAAATCATACCATGGAGAGCAATGGTGAATTAGTAGCATTTACTTTGCCAATCGTAACTCGAGTATTTCACGCATGTGCATGTATCCCTATGATGTGCTACCTCCGTCCCGAATTAGTTGTCTTAGATACATCCGTATCTAGACAAGTAATGTGGGAAGGAGGTAATACAAAATACCTTGTGACAACTGCTTGGAAAAAGAAGATGTTTCAGTCAATTTTTTCTGATTGAAATTCGACGGCTGACACTGCATCTTCCTCCTCCACCCGAGTCTTCTCCTCTAGTCGGGTTCTCCGCCCAACCCCCCTCCCTCTCCTCCCACGCCGCGTCGTCCCGTCTCCGGCGAGGTCCTGGCCGTGTCGGCGGGGACGACTCCTGCGAGGTCTTGGCCGTGTTGCCTCGAGGCACTACTCCCTGACAAATCTGAATACTTCTACACCATAGTACATTGTTTTTGAAAAAAAAGGAACAATGTTTTTCAAAAAAAAAAGTCGGTGCTAATGGTTTTGTAAACCGAACCGGGTTCCTTTCCCACCGGATCAGAGTCAGGCCAGTAGGCAGGGGGTTGGATTGGTTCCGATGGAGAGCCCAACACGACACACCTCCGCGCCGCGGTCCAGCCTCCTTCTCTTCTCCCCCAATTCAACCGGCGTCCTCCCATCAGACCCCATCATCGATCGCCTCCGCCCCACGCCACGCACCTCCCCTCCCCTCCGCGGAACCCGCGCCCAGAAGCAAAACCCCACCGCGCCCCACCCCGGCTCCCGCCCCGGCGAGCCGAGCCGACCGAGCCCCTCCGCCGCGGCGGCGGGGACAGGGAGGCAGAGGGGGCGCCGCCGCGGGGATGGGGAACAAGATCGCGCGGACGACGCAGGCGTCGGCGACGGAGTACTACCTGCACGACCTGCCCTCCACCTACAACCTCGTGCTGCTCGACCTCGTCAGCCGCGGCCGCTTCCTCAAGTCCGTCCTCTGCAAGCACGACGAGGGCCTCCTCCTCGTCAAGGTCTACTTCAAGCGCGCCGGGGAGCCCCTCGACCTCAAGGTAACCGCCGCATCCCCTTCCCCCTTCGGTTTGGGCGGCCGGGCGGTCCTGAGAAGATCTGCCTGTTGCCTCGCAGGACCATGAGCGGAGGCTGGAGCGGATCCGGAGGGCGTTCCAGGGGCTCGAGGGCTCCCACGTCTGGCCCTTCCAGGTCAGGCCTCGCTCTTCTGTTTGTTTCGCCTGTACATTACCAACGATTACTAATCGGCGCTGTTTATGTGTGCGTTATTCTGTGACATTTAGTGTGGTTTAGCGAATTTCTATGACATGTGTATTATTATCTCTGTTTGCTTCTGGTTGCAATTTATAGTGTGTTTCATTCAGCGGAGGCAGCAAGGTTGGGTCTGGGTGTATAGTTAATTGCTTGTAGTCTTTTGCTTCCTTGGTGTACTGTCATTTTAAGGCTAGATTTAGAGTAAATTGCTTTCAGGATTTGCTTGCTTGTTATACTATATTTTGTTAGGGGTTTCTTCTTTCTGGATTATTATGAATCTACCTGAGTATGCTCACTTGCTTGGATGTTTCCTCACAACATGATACATGGATGAATGAACATTGACATATTGCATTGCCTCTCAATGTGTAGAGAGTGCCTTTGTTGCGCAGACATGTTTTCTCTCTCCCTTGGTTCACATGCTGACAGGACTTTGAATGTTTTCTCAGGTTTGGTTTCAGACGGACAAGGCAGCATATCTCCTGAGGCAGTACTCCTACAGCAATCTGCATGATAGACTTAGTACACGCCCTTTCCTCAGTCAAATTGAGAAGAAATGGCTTGCTTTTCAGGTGCGCCCTTTATTTCTTTTTTGTCCATGCTGTCGGATGGTCATTAGTAGTTGTTACAAAGGTGAAAGAGTCGATCATGTGGGAGACTTCTATAGGAAGTTGTACAACCTCTTTGCTAAGTGTAGCCTTAAACTAGTGGCACATGTAAGAGTCGTTCTTCATTCCTTTCCTTTCCAGATATGGTTGTCGACTTAGCTCAATTTGGTTGTGCAGTTAATCCATGCTGTGGAGCAGAGCCATAGTAAGGGAGTTTGCCATGGTGAGAAGGTTTTCTCTTAAGTTATATGAGCAGTAGTGTTTTTCTTTCATTTGTATTTACACTGCTGTTCTCCTAAAAATATATATTTACTCTGCTGTTTATGTTAGGTGACATAAAATGTGAGAATGTACTGGTGACCTCATGGAACTGGCTATACCTCACGGACTTTGCGTCTTTTAAACCAACTTACATCCCGGATGATGATCCGTCTGATTTTTCGTTCTTCTTCGACACTGGAGGAAGGCGAAGATGCTATCTTGCACCTGAAGTTAGTCCCTTCACCTAAATTATATTCAAAACTTCAATGCTCTTTTATCCACTTTATCTCAGTTTGCTTGCTACCATTGGTGTAACAATTGTTACATGCTACTAGTAGTTTGTTAATAGATGCTCTTCACTGAAATGCTTGCTCTCACTGCATCTCCATCATTCAAACGAGGGTACAATAGGAAAAGCCTGCAATTAATAGATGTTTTAGATAAGAGCACAAGCTTTGTAATGAGAAACTGAAGCAAAACAATGGGGACCTCTAATATGAAATAGACGGAGTACAAGAATATATCAGTAGAAAGGCCTGTATAACTTCTACAGCACCACCCAAAGCAACTGGGTTCACAAAAGCATGATAAGATATCACTTCTGATTGACAAACTATATAAATGATCCAAAAACATTTATACCAGGCCAATTCAGACAGTTTAGCAAATCTATAGTACATACAAAATAGCAGCTCCCGGCATGAACTTACAACTTCTGCTGAACACCAAGAATAAGAAAGAAGCATACCACAACATCCATTCACAATGTCCAGCTGTAATGTGATGTACTTTTATGCTATATATCTTTGTTAGCTTATAACTTCTTTTTGATGGCACATTTTTATTTGTACTGTGAAATAAACTAAACTCCATTTTTTCTCCAGAGATTCCACGAACATGGTGCTGAGTCCCAAGTTTCCTCAGATGCACCTCTGAAACCATCTATGGACATATTCTCTCTCGGGTATGCAGTGTTGTCTTGTGGAACATCTTTGTTAATTTGATCGGGAGTTGTGTTCTTCCATTGGGATATGTGTACTTTCCATTTTGCATGTTAATGATAGATTACTGATCACTATCGTTTGCTTGAACATGTTAATTTGATCATATGTGATGTATTGTCCTTTGACCTCTTTATGTGACAAAAGGGGGATTTTCTTATCAGACGAAATCTGATGGTTATTGGAAGATTACAATCGACCTGTTGTGTCAGCCATACATGATGTATGTTGCTGCAATGCATTGTATCTTCACCTTGAGACAATGTACCCACCAGTGAAGTACTGAGTTTTACTATATACTGGGGAAGAATTTGGAGCTATTTTGGATTCATTTAAGGCGGCATGCATTTTCGCAAATATTGCATCACATTTTTCTTTATCGAGATTTAGGAGTGCTGTGCAGTTAGAAATAAGAAGAGTTGTTACTTAAATGAAGATGTTGATTTTCCTGTGTTTCTTCACTAGCTACTTATCTTTTCTTCAGTACTCTACTGTGCTAAAATTATAAACTGATCTGATGGATTTTTATTTCCTTATTTACTGATTGGCAAACTATTTTTTCCTTCTTTCCAGGTGCGTTCTTGCTGAACTTTTTCTGGAGGGTCAGCCACTTTTTGAGCTTTCACAACTGCTTGCTTATCGGCGTGGCCAGTATGATCCAATGCATACCCTAGAAAAGGTTTTCTGTTCTTTTCTTGGTATTTGAAATAGTTTTTTTTACATCAAAATAGTTTCCGTATTTGTTCTGAATTATTTCGTAGCTGTTGTTTCTCTAACATAGAACTTGAGGTTGACATGTCTGTTATTCATTCTGAGCAACTGTAACATCCTGGTCGCTCCCTGGGTGCCTGCAGAATTACTTCTTGGCTTCTTGCTATAATAGGGCCAGTAGTACTTGTTCCTTGGGAAGTAGGACCAACAATTCATTTAGTCATGTTCCTTATTCCTACAGTGATCTTGTTTGATGTTGGAATTTTTGTGACCAACACATACAAAATTGATTACTTGGGTATTCTGTTCTTAACTTGCTGGTTGCATGATTTGTCCTAAACTGAACTTTTCATACCTCTTGGACTATGACTTAGAGTAGTACCTACCGCCTATAGTTGCATGATTTGTTTTTTCCCAGGCCCTAAGAGGATACATATGGACAAGTTTAAGTGGATGATCCATTGCTGAATTTAGTGCAATCGTAGAACTTTAATTGGTGATAAAATTTCCATATCTGAATCTTCATTGACTGAGTAAACAATAGGGTAAGGGTTAACGGGTCTTTCGTGCAAAAAGATATTTTCTCTGTGGATCTAAATCAATTAATACGAATTTGACCAGTCCATACTCCATAGGTATACATTCTTTCTTAGTTGCAATTCGTTTGTGAAGCATATGTACTGAAAATGCATGCTGTAGGGAGTAAGTATGAACATGCTTTCATTTGCGTGCATCTCCCACTGATTCTGCTGGTGTTTGCTTATGTTATCCAACATGGTTGCAATATTCCTTCGAGATATACCAGCCATTCATTATGCCCA